TAGGATAGTTCCTAGATTTATCTCTGGCCACTGTTCACCGGAGCGCTGCCAGAGGTTCGCTGCCAGTTTCCAGATACGTCTTTGTCCTGAGGTATTGCAGTCAAGTAGTATGTGTTCTAATGATTCGATTTCGTCGCATTCCAGGCATTCGGCCCGTCTCTCATAGTTGTGGATGTTCAGCCACCAACGTCCAATGCGTAACGAGTCATGTAGGCCTTTCCAGAGAAAGTTCCGGACACTTCTGTTGAGGTCTTTATGTCGGATCGAAGACCAGAGGGCAAAGTTCGTAGGCAGATACTCAGACCATTCTTTGACCATAATTTTGACTCTCTCTACCATTTCCACTGTACGTCTTCTGACGGTGGGTTGTTTGTTTTCAAGTATTGATCTATATAGGAGGGCTTGGGAAGCATTGGAGAGCTGGACGCCAGTTGTACACAGGTGATGGGGGACTGTTAGGTTAATCAGGCTGACATTTTCCCGTCTAGCACGTGAAGTTTTTTCTTCTCTTTAAGTACTTATTTATTTATTTAATTTGTAGGTCATTGTGCATGTGACGGTTATGGGATGACCCATATTAATTTTGAGCTCTTTCGACGCTGCTAATGATCTGCTGGAGTAACGAGCTGGGACTTATTCGAGTAGACCTGGATTGGTTAGTTCTCTTACTCAGGCTCTGTGACTACTTAGTACTCATGTGTCTGGAAATTCATTTTTAATGATAGGTGATGGGGAACACGTCTGGTGATTTCCCGTACGTATGCATTTCTCTTTAACTTGGCCATCTGATAGAAGTTCCGCACGATCGATAGCACAAGTTTCGATCAGCCCCTTGCCTTCACGCCACACACGGAGCGTTTCCGCCAGAAGCATCAATTACTGAAGAATGAATTAAATGCCGCCTCGTTTAGCAAATACCGGCCTCTCCATGAAAAGGAAAGTCAAAGTTTGATCAAGAAGCTATTGGCAGCGCCAGATGAGCTGGTTGGGTGTGTTCGGCAATGCGTATATATCATCATTACAGATTAAACGCAAACAATGATTTTTTAAATAGCTATTCCGGATCGACCGTCCTAAAATCAACGTATGGATATCGCCCCACCGCATGGGAAGATTGCTTTCCTCTTCTCGCAGAAGAGGCGAAGGCTGCATTTTCTGAAGCCTCTCAACCTGAACTTGGCAATTGGCTTGGTAATTTGGCTCCATGGCGTAGGACGTTCCCTGAGGCTTTTACAGACAGATATACTTATATATTTCCTCAGTAAGATACTTCCCTGGTTGGATGACGAGTGTTGGATCCAAACACAAACTCGGGCTGCAGAACGACGGAGTAAATGACATAGGGAAATGATAGAAGGACTTTATGCCTGGGCAAAGGATCATCGAGTACGTTCTCAGGGTGACCGGCCTCATTTCATCGATCTACTACTTAATTGTGCTTTGGGATAGGACTCAAATACGCAGATTACACGGAACTTTGGAACATCTATCTTAGATTCCGAGGAGCCTTTGACGGAGGAATAGGATAATCTTTTGAATGGACTCTCGGTTCGTTGATTGGAGGTGAAACACAAAGTTCGCTCGTGATTTATTGAGATATTAACATGTGAATACTTAGGTGCCGATAAAGTGATTTAGAATGATTTCACATTCCTACATAATAATAGATATTAACGCTTATATGCTAGACCGCTTCGGCGATTTCCTCTTTCTTCCTGACAATGGCTCTGCATCCTTGAATTCAGGGAAAAGGCCAAAAGGAACTTGATGATCTTCTTCGTGGAGAAAGACTTCCTAAACTCGAGGATATGCCTTCTCTTCCTTTTGTTCGGGATATCATGCGAGAGGTTTTAAGATGGAATCCAGTGGCGCCTCTGGGTCTTCTCTTATTTCTCTGAAGTCGGATGCTTCCTTTTAACAAACTTCTTTCTTAGGAATTCCCCATCTTTTGACACAAGAGAATGCATATCGAGAATTCAGATTTCCGAAAGGGATGACTGTGATTCCAAATATCTGGTATGTCCTCTACTTCTCCTATATATTGCCCTAACGTAACTATATAAAATTGCAGGCTAATGCTACACGATCGGCAGGTCTACCCAGATCCCAATGATTTCAATCCAGACCGTTTCAACCCAGACCACCTCGAACCAAACGATTTCAGCCTAGACCCTTTCAATCTGTTTGTAAGCAGGGCTTTAGGGTTGCGCCTGCCATCAGGAATTTAGGAGTTACGTTTGGATTTGGAAGACGGTAAGACAATCAAATATATAGATTCATACAACCTTTGATAGATAGATAGATTTTAGAGCATGCCTAGGAGCTTCATTTGCAGAAACTTTACTATTTATTACAATCGCTACGCCCTTGGCTGTCTGTGATATAAGTAATGCGGTTGATGAGAAGAGAGGATCACCAGTTTCCACGGAGGTTTTGTATGGAACGGGGATAATCAGGTGGGTTTACTATGTATACCACACTCTACGTTCCGCTTACAATCATATATGCCAAGTCATCTGCCGCAATTCACTTGTAGTATTAAGAGTAGATCAGAATCTACTATGAGGCTTCTACAGCGCACACCGGACAATAAAAGAGTATCTGCATAGCTTTCAGGCTGTTTGGATCCACTATAAGGATGCCTCGAAACATGGCTGTTGCATCTTTATCTTATGTATTAAATCCTTGTGGTTTATTATTGAGAATATTGGAATGTATATTAGTCTATCGATGACGGTATCCTGCAAACCTAAAAACGAAGAGCCGTTGGCTGCTTGGCTAAGGGGTACAGCGTCGCACTTGTATTTTCGGAATTAAATTTCCGATGATATGCGAAGACCGGGAGTTCAAATCTCCCAGTAGCCTTTTCTTTTTTGGTCAATTGAGAGCAACACTCCTTGAGAAAGCCAATCAGGTAGATTTTTAATGGATACTACATACATAATAACAAGCCCTTCCGAAGATTTAATACCGTCTTGTCGATAAGTAGACTTGCCGACGGGAAAGCAGATGGGATATTTATTTCTTCCATAATAATTTATAGTCAAATATTTTAGTTTATTTCTTGCTCCTCCTTTTGTATACGAATCGGAATTCCGATATTCTGGCTTTATGGCTTTATAACTTTCCAATAATAAGCAGTCTCGAGTCCATACCTTTCCTTTTCGGTATTTCCTTCCGGGTTTTAGTGGCTACGGTTGGCATCAAACGCTGAGGTTCTCTGAAGGAGGTCCGGCTCTTTTCGCCTTGTGCACGCCGGCGTCCCCTATACAACCACAAAATAAATCATTTGTGTCGGAGTCCCTTGCATTAAAATCGATGTGTAAACTAGGATAATAAAACACAACTTTCACTGCCTTTAAGCGAGCTTTCCCATGAGAAAAGAAGAAAACATCTTGTAGAAGAATATATATTCAATACCGTGTTATTCATATTTAGAGCATTTATTTACTATCCAATTAGTCTCAAGTGTGAATATTCTTGTTTAAAAAGCCCTATAGAAAATATTTAAGCAGCTGAAGTGGGCTCAATACAAAGACTTTTCGAGTGTACGATTTTATTTTGTTGCAAGGACTTGGGACGCCGGCCTGTACAAGGCGAATAGTGCCAGGCCTCCTCCGGAGGTTCGTCGCCGTGATGTTTGAGCGCAGCCAATCACCCTTAACAAAGAAATCCGGTTTGAGGTTTGGTCCCGAGGCTAATGATAAGTACTCAATTATACGATTTCAAAGATGGACTTTCGGACATTCCAATTTTGTTGAGAGCTCCGGTTATCGCCAAACAGCCGGTCCAGCTCCCCTGCACCACAGCGTCTTCTCTGACTTCGACGCCCGATGCATCAGGTTCAATGGTGCCCGCTCCCATGACAGGGCTTTCTCCACTTCAAGATCATTTAGGATCCCCAAAATTAATGACGAATATGGCGAAGAGTCAAGACATGTACTTTGAAGACGGGAATATTGTTTTGGTTGCAGAAAATACGGCTTTCAAGGTGTATCGAGGCCTATTAGCGAAACACTCGCCGGTGTTCATGGATATGCTTCAGATTGGATGCGCCGAAGCGAGCGAAGAGGGCCAGGAGACGTTTGAGGGATGTTTGGCGGTTAGGCTTTCAGATAGGAGTGACGAAGCCGCTCAGCTTTTGCGAGCGATTCATGGCCAATTGTACGTGCCAGTGATCATAATTCTTATTAATTGAACTTAATATCATCCTCTCTTCTCCACAGGAACTTTGATATTGAAAGTGCAATGCATCTAGCGCACGTCCTCCGTCTCTCAGCTAAATACTTGATCGACCCCATCCGCATCACAGCTTTCAAGAAGCTAACCCTCAAATTTCCTAGCAAACTCACAGACTGGAACCGTATCACAGCGCCGTCCGCGGAAGAAAGCGCTGAGATCATTCGTGCCGCATTGGAAGCCCATGCGGACATTCTCCTTCCCTCGGCCTATTACGCTCTATGCCGCGCCGAAGTGGAAGAGGTATTCCGTCTCGATCTCCCTCAACATGCTCTCCAAGTATTCTTCCAAGGCAGACATACTCTAGGACGTGCTATTATCCCTTTGCTGGCTGATATAATCGCTAGGATGCCCCATCACTATGCTGTATCGTGTCACGATCCCAAGAAATGTACTGAGCTTCTGTCAAAACTGAAGCACGAGGTTGTTGAAATTCTGAGGAGAAAGGATCCATCGGCAATGCCTTTCGAAATCGTGACGTCATTGTCGTTGAAAGATTCAGTGGTCAACCAGTGCAGTTGGTGTAGGGGTTACTTGGAAGGGAAGTTTGGTGCGTGGTTGCAGAAGACCTGGTTGGAATTACCTTTGGTATTTGGTTTGCCATCGTGGATAGCGATGGTAGGTGCTTTTCTTATTTTGATTTAGAAATTTCGATGCTAATTGTGCACTAGGAAAATATGGTCTATTCTACGTGATGTCAACCTTTGCCGGTTAACTTATTTTCCTCGGTATCCTGGTCTTTGTTTTTTTTTTTTTGTGTGTGTGTGTGTGTGTACTATATGTATTCTTTTGTATTTCTGTATTTCTGGAGGTTATTTTACCTCTTGTAGCTTATTATTCTGTAACAAAGTATCACATGTTGCCTCGTCTTCGATCCTCAGAAATAAACATCGAATTTGTCTATACATTATAGACCCTTTTCTTACCCTAATGCCCGAAAAGCTTCCAAATAAATATCCTCTCGATGCCAGCATGACGCGATAGGCCAGCAGACGCCCATATCCAATTTGAATTTGGTTCCACCATGTCTTTTACCTCAAGCCAAAGGTTTGCGATCGCTGGAGTCTCGTACGATGATATATATATCGAGTTGACTACGATAATTTTTACAGTCGATTTGTGTATACATAATGGATCCTCGCGTTGACTCTGAAGGCGACTCCGACTCGGAGCCTCAGCAACTGTTATCCACTGGGATTGGCGTTGAGACCATGGAGGATATTCCCGCTCGTAAGGACTATATAAACATCCAATGATTGGTCTGACTTTTTACATTGATAGCTAAAGCTGTTTTGGCTCACTTTATGGTGGGCAATACATACGTAAGTCAGACTATAATTCCATCTTGAAGCCGTTCAATGACTCAGCATTTGAACGTTACCAGTCATACACCGACTCCGAATGGATCAACGATATTGAACTAGCCCATTCTCATGGTATTGACGGTTTTATTCTCAACGTCGGTAGAGATCCATGGCAACCTCTTCAAATTGCGTCAGCCTTCAAAGCCGTCAGCCTTTTCAGGTTCCGACTTTGCCTTTCTTTCGATATGACCTCTCTTGTTTCTCAAAGCCAATCTGATATCACGACCCTGAAGGAGTATATCGAAGCGTTTGGAAACCATCCGAATTATTTTAGATATCATGGGAAACCCTTCGTAACTACCTTTGGTGGAGAATATGCGACCTTTGGATTGGATAGTCCTACCTCTGGGTGGAAGAGCGTTTTGAGTCAGCTTCCTCACACAGTATGTCATTGTGGAACTTGCATTTAACGAGGCTAATTATTTCGGAGATCCATTTCGTTCCGACCTTCTTTGTTATGAATCATGTTGATCGGAGCGTACTTGATGGGGATTGTAATGTAAGTATTTATCTCTCAGGCTCTATTTATTTATTTGATGCATCACTACTTTTAAATTCTTAGTGGGATGGAGCTTGGCCCATGGGAGACTCTCCCATCTCATTTGATAGTGACCGTCAACGGGTTGTGGCAAATCAGGGAAAGACCTACATGGCTACAGTCAGCCCCTGTTTCTTTACAGTAAGCTGCATTTGGATTTCCCCTTTCGTTTTCTCATAAGCGAATAGCATTATGGTCCAGATTCATGGAATAAAAATTTCATATATCGAGGGGACGACTGGTTGTACAATTCGAGATGGGAGATGCTCGTTCAGCATCGATCTCAAATCGATATTGTCGAGATTATTTCATGGAACGGTAGGATTTATTATTACCCTAATAATAAAGTATTAAATGAGATTTATTTTAGACTATGGTGAATCTCATTATATAGGACCCATCCGTAAAGACCAGCCGAATTCACAGGCTTGGGTAAATGGATTCGATCATCAAGGTAATGTACCGTATAATTACATTCTGACATCTAATTTCATAATGGAATGTAGCCTGGCTTGAAATGACCTCCTATTATGCGTCTGCATTCAAAACCGGACACTATCCCCGCATTCAGAAGGATCAGTTATACATTTGGGCACGCCCGCACGCTGCGGCAGCCAGTGCGCATGACGCTGTGCCTAAGCCGAAAAACACGAATTGGGTCTGTGTACCTTTAATGTCTCCTTGACAATCACATTTTGACGGGTTTTTACAGACCCGTGATATATTGTGGGCTGCCGTCTTTACCACGGCACCTGCAGAAGTAACCCTAGTATCTGGATCTCGAACATGGTCCACTGCTGTCGGTACAGGTGTGTTCAAAGTGGGTTTAGGAAGTCTACCAGGTCATCAGACTGCTTTTTTATCTCGTGGAACTTCACGTGTGGTCTCAATTCCGTCTAATGCGTTTTCTTTCACTCTCAGTCCTCAGACGTATAACTACAATTATTATGTCGCCAGAGGATCCGGACATGAAAACGAATTGCTCTCTTTGGAAGCTAAATAGACCGATGTATAAACTTTTGTCCTCGTGCTAAGTCATATTATTTATCAATTATTCGCATGTACACTATTCTTGATGGATACTTATACGGATCGATATCGATTGAAAACTGCCCGAGTCCGTCTTCAGGTTCCTACCCACCAATGTTTCCAGGCTTGACCGACGCTACAAGCATTATCCAACTGCGCTGATAGTTGTGTTTAAATCAAGTTCATCCGCCTTGTGTATAAAATTTGCCATTTCTAGACAATATATACAGCGGCTGCTCCTCGGTGCCTCGCGTATCGCCGAGGGTCAATTACTTTTGATTGTCGGCCGAACCCGTGCTTTTCAGGTTCATCCATACAAAAAGCACGCTTCGGTGCAAGCGATCTATAATGACATCTCCTATCATCGAAGTCGGAATGTACTCTAATGTACTTCTGCTAGTACTAAGCGAAGGGTTTTCTGAGATATTGACGCTGCGGGAGTCCTTCGTTAGTTTCTCTTAATGGAACTTGAGCAGCAGCCGGATACATATTCGGTATCTTTAATATATAATATATTTTGTGATGGCTATGCCATCATCTTGCTGAGTTATCACTGATTATCACCAAGACCCTTAGTTTACACTTAATTAAGTTAGTTTAATTTAGACAGTCTCGGCGTAGATTAAAAGTTGACATATGATTTTCCAGGACCTATCTATTTATAAGGGAATCATCACGCGATCCCAGAGAACCCC